AAGCCTTCTGTGCCAGAGATCAATGGAGGCATTGTGAGTTGCCTTCACCTCTCCATTCTTCAACTTTGCATTCAACACATACAAAGAGTTCAACTTCTTGCCTCTAGCAATAACAAGATTTCCTCTGGTAATTGTCCAACAGCCACCACCTTCAGTCCTATGGTAACCCTCATCATCAAGTTTTCCAACGGAAATAAGGTTCAGACGCATATCTGGAACATGTCTGACATGCTTCAAGACAAGAGTACAACATATATTCGTTACCAATGATACCTCTCCCATGCCGACAAAATCGCAAAAGGCTTGATTGCCCATTCTTACACGACCAAAATCTCCAGGTGTATAAGAGGTAAAGAAGTGTCTATGAGGCGTCACATGATAAGACGCACCTGAATCACCGAACCAATCACTGTCGTGACTCGCAACATTAATTGTATCATCATCACAGTACATAAATACATCACTGGTAATTACTACTGCAGTGGTTTCATCACTTCTTGATTCATCTTTCTTACCTTTACTTTTTCCCGCTGCTAGTTCTCTCTTGAGAATCTTGCACTCCCTCTTAAAGTGCCCATTCCCTTGACAATGGTAGCACACGAAATCTTTCTTGGATTTAGACCTTCCTCTGGACTTGTCATTCCGATCACGTGGCCCTCTGCTTTTACTTCTCCCTCTTCTATCTGACTTTTCTGTCACCAGAGCCTGCGACTCAGACTCAATACTCTGCTTTTTTCTTTTGACTTCTTTATTCATCAAAGCCTCTTTGACCGGATTCAAGGTCAAGACACCATCATGGGTTGAATTACTTATTGACATTACCAAAGTGTCCTAACTGTCTGTTAGAGAACTAAACAATAACAAAGCTGCACCTCATCATCCAAATTTAAACCTACATTCACTGCCTGGTTCAACAAATCCTGAAACAAACTCAAGTGCTCATTCATACTAGCATCATCTTTGTACCTCAACCTGGTAATCTGTTTCAGCGCAGATGACTTATTGATGCCGGACTTCTTCCAGTACATATTCTGGATTTTCTCCAAAAGTTTATCAGCTTTTGTTTCTCCCGAGAAGTGATGAAACACACTTTGATCAATCCACTGTCGAATATTACAAACAGTTTTTCTGTGCATATCAGCCCACTTTTTATGAGTCATATCACTTGGCCTACCTTCATCCCCTAGAACAGGATCAAACAAATCTTTGCAATACAACAAATCTTCCATTCTAGGCTTCCACAAATGATAATTGGATGAAGTCAATTTAATCATCGTACTAGTACCCGATGACTCTTCCATTTTATTGGTGTAACACCTCAACTACCGAACTGTAGCTCTAATACCATTGTTGTGGAAAAAATCACAGGACTATAACAACAGTCAAATCTCCACTATCACAATAATGGAAAATAATCTTCACCAACCGGTGGATACACAGGACTTCACCAAAAGGTGGATTACAATAATACTCTTCCACACACACCTATCACAAAGTAGGACCCGAAGGATCTCGTCAAAAGAGAGTTAAACGAAAAACTAAACCCTAGTTTTCTTTCCCGCGCACAAAACCTATGCACAGCTGCCCTTGCTTTGCTTCTCTGTCTCGGCCGTACTCACGAATCAAAAAAAACCAAAGCACCATGACTTTTATAAGCCACGGCCAAACCCAAAACGAAAACAAGTTGGGTTTTGCTCTTTCAGTCAAGCACCAGTTATGTGGTCAAATCTGGTTGGGCCCTTATTTAAGAGGAATCAGGCCCAACAGAATTGATCCCTCGACCTCTTAATAATAATCATCTCATCCTAATCCCTTAACCACCCCACCCAATCCTCCCACCCCCTTGTTCTTTGATCTCTGGATGAAGGAAACATAAAAATATCGGTCGGAATTGTACTCGATTGAACTTATGTCTAAAACTATCGTAGGAACGGAAACAATTCTTGATAGAAATGCAATTTAAGATGTATTTAATCCTTTAAAATAAAGGAATCTGTATCTGCCATGAAGGCAAAAGATTAATCTTTTAGATAAAACATGTAATATTCAACTCAATCTCAAAACTATTCTATTAATATTTACGAAGGGAGAAAAGAACAATGCAATTTAGTTAAAGTTAAGGTAATACAAATCTTACTCGCTTAGAATCTGGATTAGTCAGAGAAATGAATTTAGACATCAGATGCGTAATATATCAAGAAAAAATTAAGAAATCATTGCCGGCAAAAGAGACATGAACTATTTTGTATTGTTATTATAGCAAAATGAAAGGTATAGTAAAGTCATGAATTGTTCAATAAAAATTTTTATACCCGGTTAGTTTTCGCAAACTACCCCAATTTGTAAATTAAATGTGGATGACTTAATTTGTAAAAAAATAAAAATATTTTTTTTCCATTTCTGCCCATGTTTGTGTTGATGTTGGATAGCTCTTCTTCTTCCCCTCCCCGAGAATGCACTCATATATAGATATAGCTTAATATAAAACTAGAAAGGACAATGTTAAATTATGCTAGACCAGAAGCAAGTTAAAAACAACCTTAGCAAAGATACATAAACCCTAATTAGATTGAGAAATGCTAGTAACTTAATGTATTTTCTTAGACAACAAACCAAAGGAATATAATTAATCATTATTCACACTTCCAAGTGGATATAATCATTATTCTATTCATTAAGCTGACAGCATTTGTCTTTACATCTAAGAAAATATTAGCGGAACATATAATCACGATACTGTAATAACGTGGAATTAATTTCGATTTAATTTTGTTAGTAGAATTCAACAATGGCAGAAATGCTGAAAAAAGACCATCGCGCGTATTCCTTATCCGATTTACTAGCTTAGATGCTCCTTAGTCACAACATCTAATCGCACCTTTAGCTCATTTCTAACAATTTATTGGAAAAAACTGATCAGATTTTTCTTATTTACAAAAAAAAAAAACTAGTTACTCGACTCAGTAGTTTCCTTAACTCCGACAACCAGACCTGAGCCAAGTTCTTTTTTTAAAAACAAAAACAAACATAATTTTATTAATAATAAAGAAAAAAAATAGGGCAGCGAATATACTAACCCTATATCAACTACAATTTTGATCTTAAACTAAAGGTTAATCCTTGTTTAATCTAGCAGACCGACGAACTCTAATTTTCTTTTAATCCTTGGCTTTTCTTCGAATGATTGTCAAATGTTGGAGCAGAAATTTCCCTATAAAATGACAATTGTTCCATCGCATACTCCATATCAAAATCATCATCATAAGAACCATTGAAAGTACGATTTAGTCCACCTTCAGAATTTATTTCTTCAATCAAATAATTTGGGATCAAAGTCTCGGTAGTCTTTCCTATCTCCGTATCATCCATGTATCAAGGAGAGAGCAGATCAAGGAAAATAATTGAGGAGGATAATCCTCCATATGATCAGCTGAACATTAGTCAAAGGTTAGTGATAATGGCTAAATTGTTACATAAAAGCATCACAATTAACTTTGTATTTGATGAACAATTGGGGGTATTTCCTAACATTGGTGCAATTTACTTAACTCGTTTCCATGTTATTGTTAGGTAAGGACTGGATTGAATAATTGCTAAAAATTGGAAGTTAAAGGAACAATTTATGGGCTGCTGAGGCAAGGTTGCTGAGCTGGACGAAGAAGAAGGCCCTTAGACAAGAAGCATCTTGTCATTAATGACCTTGCCTCCTCCTAAAGGCATGCTTGTCCCCCAGCCGCAATCTCAGCCACCACTGCTGATCAATGAGAGCAAGACGGCCACTGCTGGAAGAGAGAAAAGGAACGGCCAAGTTGGATTGCAGGCTCAAGACATTGGGAGGATTAAACAACTCCAAGCATGGGGAGGCTCTCATGATGAAGACCCTGACTGCAAGGCCCTATAAAAGAGGGAACTGCACTCTCAAATGGGATCCATCTCTCAATCTCTGGTTACCCTTTCAGTTGCTAAAAACACCCAGAAAAACTCCAGGTAGAAGGCAAGAAAGAAGAAGAAGCAGCAACAACTCAGTGAGGAAGCCAAGTTAAAGAGTAGCAACCCAGTTTCTTCTCCAGTTCCACGACAAGCTTTCTTCTTATCTCTTGACTGTTAGCTTGAACTTTGTTTATTATGCATACTTCTATGATGTCTTTCGATGTAGTAGATGTAGTATTAATCTGTATGAGTAGCTAAACAGTTCCCAGGGGTTATTCTCCTCAACTGATGTTGTAGTTGTCAAGCACTGGTTTTGTTCCTTGTTTTATGGTTGAAAGTTTTTCTACATTCACTTACTTGATCACTAAATTGAATGCATGCTAGAACTAAGGGAGATCTGGAAGGATAAACTTGGTTTGGATTGTTTCAACTTTAATTTATGACATAGAGGTAACAGTCTATGGTTTTAACTAAGATAGGAATATACTTAGTTAACATAAGCATTCTTGAAGGCCTAAGAACTTAATGACTTTGTAGCTGAGTCAATCATTGGAAAATAGGTTGTTAAGGTTGCAAAGATGACTCTAGGAAAAATGAGAACTGACTTAGAGTTATAAGTGAGCTGAATGAACAAGAACTCAACCATTACAGTGCTAATAAAACAACTACAACAATAGGAAGAGGAGAAGAACACCCCTGGCCTTCATTCCCCTGAGTGACTGTTTTCATTCTCCTGAGTGACACCTTATTTGACTGGCAGTTTTTCTTTACAACAATTTTGGTAATTAGCTGTCCTCGTGGGATCGACCTAGCTTCCATTATTTACAAGAATCATAATCTAAGCTAGTAATATTTTTGATGAACTCGGCAAGCACCAGTTAGCAGAGGGATTGAAGAAGCATTAAATTATAATTATTGATAGGAGAAGTTCTCCTTACGTTCAGCCTTCATGATTGTACATAGTTGGCTTTCCTTGTAAGCACATTGTGATGTACAGAATATTTGTATATAAAGCTACATGTACCATGTAAATGCAGGGAGAATGAAATCATCTTTTTTATAAAATATTATTACCATGGACAAGTACATTTTTGGAGCCGTAATTGCGGTTGATGAGAGATACTAAATTCTGGAGCCTCATGATTTAATTTTTGACTCGAGCTGTTACTGGAAGTATTTATTGAAGAGATTACTTCCTTATTTGAGGGTGAATATTGGCCTGATAAGGAGTTTGACTGCGACTTATCCCCTCTTGATTTTTGAAAGTCTGGATGAGAGAGGGTTGACTGCACAATTGGCGCAGAGATCGCGGAGTTTGTTGCGCAGTCAAAGGATGCGACAGAGTCCGCAACCCTCGCCGGAAATCCATTGCTTGCAGCCGTTGGTTTTCTTCTGGTGACCCAGGATTGTTCTCCAAGAACAGTTGCTGCAAGCGAGTTGATCGAAGTGGATGGCGGGGTTGAAGTTGATTGGCGATTTCCATTAGCAAAAGAGACATCAACAATGGTGCGGTGGTCGATTGTGTCTCGCACCTCTACCGCCAGTGATGTTGATGCGCCACCATTGCTAGGAGCAGTCTCCGACTGTGAGGAAGGCTGGTGATTCTCCGCAGGAAGAATTGGAGAGCCTTGCTGAGGATCTGCAGATTTAGGCTCGGATTTCTCAGCGACTGCGGCGCCTTCGAGTTCTGATTGTTCTGAGATTAAAGGAAGCGGAGTGCTGTCTGGAACGTCAACTGGAATGGAAATCTTTTCCATTGTGGTCAATCCTGAGGTTGAGCCAAGTTCTATATCATTGTCAGAAATTAATAAATTTCTGTAAATGAGTACTCAATGAAATTTCTGGCAAAGCGCAGCGCATATATTAATATACAGCACCAACCACCCACCATTAACTCATCCAAAATAATCCTAATAGAGCTGCACTATAAAACATCAGTATGTTTATAGAAGACTTCAAGGCGAGAAAACTCAATCTGGTGAATGAAATCCTTTCAAGAGTTTAGAGATATATAGCGAGGCATTGTAGGAAGTTTGAATAGAATACAGGTTGAATCCAAAAATAAAATCCTCAACAGCTGTTTTTTGTTTTGGCCTCAATTTATGGTTTCGAGCTTCCTCCATGCCTTGCTATGTGTTTCTAAATTCTTTCATGTTGCATTATCTTCACATACCCTTTCTTTCTTCTTTCGGGTTTTGCGTATATTCTTCTCATTCAGTTGGTTTATAATTACTTGCTTCAGTTGCATTAACAAAAAAGAAATATAGCTGTCCGACTAAATTTTATGTAATTTGAGCAAACGATATCTGCCCTGAAAAAACTTAATTAGTTCTTCTGTTTCTTTATTATTTCATATGTAAAAAAAAAGTCCACATTAAATTTTGTTATTTGTACTGAAAATTGCATTAAAATTTCAAAATTTAGTGTAAATTAACATTTTGAGAGGGAGTATTTTGCGTGTATATTTGTGTGTGTAGCACGTCTTTTTTTATATCTCTCTACTTCTGTCTTTGTTTGGGAAGAGCTTATTTTTGTTGTATATATATATTAAGTATTTCGACAGTACAAAAGAGAGATGTATTGACGTTGTTCAATTTCAATTAATAATAATATGAGAATATGTAGTAGTAATCAATACATTTTAACCTTCGAGAATCATGGTCTTAGCTTAGTATTTTAAACCTTTTTGACCTCCTTAATAGTGGTGATTTATGCGGAAACGGCTCAAGCTAATTACTCCTTTTTTGTTACTGCGGTACCAGTCGTCTTTGGTTTCCTTTTTTGCTACTGTAACGAAGATCATCTCAAGATTCATTGTCATTATACGAACCGAATGGTGAAATCTGCGATGGCGATGGTAATGACATCAGTGGTCCTGAAATTTATGACAGCGGCGAAATCCAAAGAGAGAGCTACTGTATTGCTATCATTATGGGGAGTGGGAATGAATATGTTTTGTTCCGAATACTTTTTCCCCATTATTTGATAAAAATTTTTGGTCATGTGTACTGGTGAACTTTTTTTTTTTTTTTATATTGCAGGGTATCTACCTTCGGCAAGAGTGACTAATCCCACTTGCTCATGGTAGGCACCTTGATGGGTGGGAGAGCTGACCAAAGGATTAAAGGTTGCTCCATGCTCATGACGAGGTTCGAACCATCGACCTATGATTAAGGGTGGAGGAGTCCTTACCACTCAACCACAACCCTTTTGGTTTGTACTGGTGAACTTTTAAGGAAGATATGCTGTTTTTATCCTTGCATTCATGAACTGCCCGCTGCTAGTGAACTCAAACTGTGGATGTATTTTCGTACAAACTTAAAATCTTTTCATTTGATGTTTGCGTAGATTTTGGATAACTATAAAAGTGGAAGAGAAAAAGATAAGCCTAAAAGAACCAAAAGAAAACCCTCATTTTCCTCTTGACCATGAATTAATTAGGAGAATAACAATATATCAAGCTTCCATTATCAAATGATATCCAAAACAACGAGTCGCATCTTCCATCATCTAATAATTGGAAACAAATTCATTTCACTAAAATATTACAAAAATGAGATGATTTCGACAGGATAAATACAAATCACACGCCTTTATTCTTATGGAGGAATCAAACTAATTAGTGATACATTCCCAAATTTAATTAAAGTCTACATTGAAATCACGTACTATATATGATCGACACCACGGAAAGGAATGATTCTGATTTGGCCAGAGAAAGAGGCAATTAATTAGTGACACATCACGGCTTGATTAGCGTCATTATTTTCCGTGTCAAATCTACTGGGCTGGATGATGGATCCCTACAAAAGCTAATTGATAAATTTGTGGAGGAATTCTATAGTTGATGGTGCAAGAAAGGATTTTGAGGACTGAGTATAAGGATCGATGAAGATTATATCGGTTTCAAGGTTTTAAGCCGGCGAATGAGTTTTAGAGAGGATTTTGTCGTGTATTTGCTTAATTTGCTCATCGCAAGATGACAAGTCATAAATAACCCTAGGCCTATTGGGCCTAGAATTAGATTACTTGAAGATTAAGCCACTGCCTAAACCTATTCCGCTAGGGTTTCAGGAAACAGATAACACCATCTCTATATAAAGAGGTGGTGCCTCTCCCATAATACATATCTTTTACCTATCTTCTAGACCTACTACACACGATACACATCCTTCTCTCTACTCTCTGTATTCTCTTATTGACTTAAGCATCAGAGAGTGTACCCTCGGGAGACACCCGAGGCTTTATCTTGCAGGTTTTAGGCCGTCTGCCGCCGCCTAGACCATCATCGCCGCCTATCCTAAGTACCGTATAAATCCATGCTTCGTCAAGTGGCACGCTCAATGGGACCGATTTGTTTAGTCCTTACAACCAAATAAATTTCTTGAAACGAAACTGAAATTTATTGGTGTTTCATGAATCATGATGTAAACGATGATGATGTTCTCGGGTCTAGCGTCGACTTCTTCTTCTCGACGTCTAGCTCGACCAGTCCCCTGTCGACGGACACGCCAACTTTCTCCCGCTGACAAAAAGGCCGACGAAGACGCTGTCGACTTTCATGTCGAGTTACTCCCTCTGACGCAGAAGCTGACAGCACGAACTTCTCAAATTTTGGAAACAAGCCCGAGAAGATTCATCAACTTTTTGATTTTACAATTTAGCCCCTCTAGTCTTTTATGATTGATTAACCCTCACTACAAAAAAAGTTGCTTTGGTGACCAATTAAAATAAGGTCACCAAAATGGACACTTGGTGACCAATTTTTCATCATAGTCAATAAAATTTGGTCAACCAACAAGATTACTGACCAAGGCAAAAAGGTGGTAAAAAATCTGGTCACCTAGCTGGTGGAATAGTTTGCAAACCTGAATAGTGACCAATTTTGTTGACCAAAGATGGCTTCCTCACTAAAATTTTGTTTTTTTTTGACTTGATTCTCTTGGTCTGTAAATTGAAGAAACTAATAGACCAATATATCTTGGTCACTAAGGCCATGGTGGGAAATTAGCCGCCAATATCAATTTTTGCCTGGGGTATTTGTTGCGCAAATTTGGCGCGTAAGGTTCCCCGCCTATAAAGGTTGACCTGATGGTCACCAAACTTAATTTTTTATACCACTTATTAGGTCAATTAAGTCATGGAGGGAAATGTGCTCGCCAAATTCCCTTTTCCCCAAATTATGTGTTGGTCAAGAATTATAATAATATTATGAACTATTTGATTATCCAAAATATCAATTGGATTATTTGGGTGTGGCTTATTATTAGCAAACAACTTATATATATAGTAATATATATTTCTTTTGAATCAAATTAGTAACAACAGTTTCACCCAAAAAAAATAAAATTATTATTCACAAAACACTCCACATTATTAAACAATAATAAATTGTGGTACACTTGATGAAATGAGAAAAAAAAATTGGGAAAATGAAAGAAGCAAGGACGAAAAAGAACCGAAAATAATTTAAATTAAGTTGAAAAAAAAGTGATAAAACTCAAATAGTAAATATGCCGATATCTATATATACAAGGGAGCACAGAACTAATGAAAGGAAAAAAGCTAAAACAAAAAGATGAGTGAGGAAAGGAAGAGGGTTTCTACTTGAGCGTACCCAAGAGAAGCTGAGACCATAAAATAATTCTTCTACTCAAAAGATTTTATAATCCGGGAACAATATTAATCCCAAAAGTAGCAGATCCAGTGAGCGGCGATCTCGGTGGAAGTTGCAGCAGGGGATTCTATCCTTGATTTAGGTCGCACCGAATTTGGCTGAATCGGGCAATAAGCTCTTGTAGTAATTAAAGACCAACTGAGAGTTGTAAGTATTATTAGCTTTGTCTGATGTTAAACCCAATTATTATATGGATACATGCAATTTGTTGGAGGAATGAGGTTCTTTTTGTGTTGCATGTGATGAACCGTGGGCTTCCCTTTTTTTTGTTTTTTTTGTTGGCGTGTGCTTTAATTTCAAGACCTTGAAATAGACATTTAATTAGAGAAGTCAATGTGATACACCTGCAAAAAAAACATCATTTTTTGATCCATAGTGAAAATAATTAAATCTTTTTTTGTTTGAAATGATTCACGTTGCTTGCTTATTCATTCTAAAGGTTGCTTAGTTTCTGATTTCTATGTTAGTTGCTTTGTTTTCAACAATCTGTACTTGAATATAATCGTTCAAAGTAGTTTGTATTTTGTAACCTGCGTGGTCAGAACTGTTGATTTCATCAATGGATGCATGATGTACATATTATCAAATAGAAGTGTGATTTATCATAGACTTTCAATTGTCTTGGGAATGTTTAATGAGCTTTATATGATACTTTTGTACTATTTAACTTGAATACATTGTTGATGTGCTTTCATATTTGCATGATAGTTTTGGTACATGAGCCTTAATTTATGAATAAATTATCTTTGCAGTTATGAATTTCTTATATTTGCATTGTCACAACGAAATGACATAGTATTATAAAATATCTTTGTGAAATCAAAGATTCCCATGATTAGTAAAATGTACACAGTATTAAACAACAAATAATTATTGATGAAAACAGTTTAGTTGATTACTTTATAGCACTTATGATCTCGAGACAATACTATCATTTAGTTATTTATTTGATAGTTAACGTGGTCATTTCTATTTCTAAACCTAATTATAGGACGTTTGTACATAGTGTAACCTTAAGTTTGTATTAGAGTGATGATACACATCTCATCTAATTTATTTCACTTTTTCATCTCACCCTAC